GTCTTTTGCTGTATTGTGGTGGTCTGGAACCAAACCCACAGTATTTCCGACGTATGTCCGTATTCGCGTCCCGTGGCTGTTCTAGCAAAAGTAGCACGGACTGGGTGACTAAAGACAACAGAAATGAACTCTGTTATGGCTATAGAGGCCAGAAGTCTGAAATCGGGGTGTGGGCAGGGCTGGAGCTTTCTGGAGGCTCTGAGGGAGAATCTCCCATGCCTCTCTCCTGGCTTCCAGTGGCTGCTGGCACCGTGGCAGATCCTCGGTTTGAGGTTAGGTCCGCTCCAATCTCTGCCTCTGTTTTCACGTGGTCTTCTTCTCTACCTCTGTGTCTCCTCTTCTGTCTCTTATAAGGACATCTGTCATTGGCTTTAGGGCCCACCCTAATCCAAGATGATCTCTTCAAGGTCCTCGACTTAATTAGATCTACAAAGACCCTTTTCCCACACATGGTCACTTTCACAAGTTCTGGAGGCCAGGACTTGGACATATCTTTTGGGGACCACCATTCACCCCACTGTGAGGGAGTGGGGCCTGGGCCAGGGCAGAGCCAGGAGACCAGGAAGAGCTGACTACAGCGCTGGTCCCGTCGTGTGATGGTGGGGGCCGGGCTGGGCTGCTGAGATGGCTAGATTTTGGCTAGTCTGCATTGGAGAAAGTCATTTGTTCTATCCGTCCCCAAGGACCTCCTGGGTGCCACACCCCATCTGGGCTTGGGTGAATGCCATGTTCAGCGTGACATGCTGTGAATGTGTCAGGTACTGTTCCTGTCCGGTGGAGCCCACAGTCTAGCGAGGGAGAAGAATAATCGAGAAGGAAATGAGGACACAATAAAACATCAGAAATTGACAAGAAGGCTCGAACATGTTGGGTTGAGGCGGGGATCGCTGGTGGCGACTTCAGCCAGGGTGATTAGGGCAGGGCCTCCAGTGCAAGTAGGCCGATGAGAGGAGCCAACCTTGCAAAGACCTGGGGAAAGGAAGAGGGAAGAGCAGGTGCAAAGCTCAGAGGCAGGATCCCGCTGGGCAGAGTAACAACGGACCCCTCTTATTCAACCCTTTTTCTTGTCTGGGCACTTAACACACTTGACAGGTATTAGGCTGAGAATTGCGTTGTTTGGGTGGCTGCTCTGGACCCCGCTTCCTGTTTGTAAATAGGGCAGTGGCGGGACCTACACTTTGTTGAGCTGGAGATCACCTCAGAAGTCGTTAGGTTCAGTCTTCAGACATTCCAAGTAAGGAAACTGAGGCCTATAGAGAGGGCAGGATCTGCCCAGGCCCCACAGCTTTAGGCAGTCGAGGAGGCTTTGAATTAAGACCATGAACTCTAGGGCACTTTTTCCTTCTGGGCCATGCTGGGACTCAGAGCTCCTGGACAGATGCTTGAGAAATCAGTCCTGCCTCCTCCTTGGACCCTTACCCCTGGGGGCTTCCTGGGCTGACCCCTGCTCTTATAACTTGCTTGCTCCTCTCTCTTCCTCGCAGGGTAGATAACGAGTGAAGTTGCTGGGTAGATAAAGTGCTAATTCCCTTCTGATTTCTTACTGACAGTGCTTCCTTCCGTGGGCAGAGGACAGCAACAGAGTTGATTGAGAATATAGGACATGCTGGGCCCCGTCTTCAGAGATCTACCTCTGCCTCTTTTCTCCCCACCATGCCCTGGGAGGTGTGGAATCTTATGGTCCCCATCTACCGGGAGGCCCAGAGAGGGAGGCACCTGCCCGTGGCCACTGTATGAGTGTCGCTGGGCTACCATAACAAATGATCACAAACCCGGTGGCTTAAACCCACAGGAATTTGTCTTCTCCAGAGTTCCAGCGACCAGAAGCCTGCAATTGAGGTGCTGGCAGGACATGCTCCCTTGGAAGGCTCTAGGGGGAATTCTCTCTTGCCTCTTCCAGCTTCTGAGGGCTCCAGGTTTCACGAGGCTTGTGGCCACGCCACTCCAGTCTCCTCCCTTGTGTTTCTGTGTTCTCTCTCCTTAAAAAGACTGTCATTGGATTTAGGTCCCACCTGGGGAATCAGGATGATCTCATCTCCTACGTACCTTAATTACATCTATAAAGACAGGAAGCCTGATGAGAGGTCTGGGGGAGAATATTCCAGCAGTGGCAACCGCATGGGCAAAGGCCCTGGGGCAGGAACGTTTGCTGTGCTGAAAATCAGGGAAGGAGGCGAGAGTGAGCTAGAGGAATAGAGGGTGATGAAGTGGGCAGACAGATGGGACTGGGGCAGGTAGGGCTTCACAGGCCCTTTGGAAGGTTAAAAGATTTTTGTGGGGGGAGGGCGCCTGGGTGGCTCAGTTGGTTAAGCATCTGACTCCTGTTTTCGGCTCAGGTCATGATCTCGGGGTCGTGCCCCGCATCGGGCTCCATGCTCAGCATGGAGCCTGCTTAAGATTCTCTTTCTCCCTCTCCCTCTGCCTCTTGCCCCTCTCTTAAAAACTAAAAACTAAAAATAAATAAAAGATTTTATTATGGAAGATTTCGTGCCTACCGAAGTGGAGAGAATAACGTAATGAGCCCATATGCCCATCCCCCAGCATCCATGACCTTCACTTGCTCTTCCTCTGCTGTTTGAGTCCCACTGGCACGTCCTTTCACCTGTTAGTTTTCTAGAGTCTGTCTCTGGAAGGCAAGGACTTCCCCTTTTTAACCTTGCTGCAAGACAGTCTTCCTGAGTTTTCTTGTTCATTTTTATTGTAGTAAAGCGTGTATAAAATTTACCTTAGTGACATTGAGCACACTTCACTGTTACATAACCACCACCTCTGTCTGGTTCCAGAACATTTCCATCACCCTAAAAGGAAACCCTGTTCCCATTAGCAGTCATTTCCCCTCCCCCTAGCCCCTGGCAACCACCAACTGGCTCTGTTTTCATGGGCTGTTTTTGAGGTATCACTTACATATAATAAAATACACCCATGCTAAGTGTACGTTTGGGGTTTTGACAAAGGTCCACATCCAGGTAACCACCACCATCAAGATACAGAACATTCCCATCTCCCCACAAGACTCCTCCTGCCCCTTTGCCATCAGTATTCCAGCCCCCCAGCCCCAGCCCTGGCCCCCTGCTCCCACTGATCTGCTTCTCCCACCTGATCAGTTTCGCCTGTGCAAAGCAGGTGCTCGCCGCCGTCTGGGGCGTGAAGGAATCTGTGCCTCTGTGCTGGTCGCCAGGAGGGGCGGGATGCTGGGCTCCGGGTTTAGGGGCTTGAATGTAGTCATTCAGCCTCTGTTTGCTGAGCACCTTATGTGCCAGGCTCCTGGTCAGATGCTTCCCCTGGTCACTGCCAACAGAGGCTTTGATGAGCAGAGCTCTGGGATTGGAGGCCGTCGGTCACCCTGAGAGTAACAGGGCAGGCACCCAGAGGGAACGGTGGGCAGCAACCTGCCCAAGACCCTTTGTTTATGCTCCTCACAGCTGTCCCCATGCCTGCCCCTCTTCACGGCGGCCTTGCCCTGAGACCTTGCCCCTCCTCTCACCAAAGATCTGGCCAGCCACAGAGATGTGACTGCTTTTTTGGGGCTGCGGGGTTCAGGCCTGGCCTGGGAGCTCCAGATGCCTCTCTCTCTTCCTCCAACACTGTCCTTTGGGATTATTTGTGGTAGGCTCACTGCGCTCCAGGAGAGTGGGGCCTCAGTCTATCTCCACTGCTGTCTCTCCAGGGCCTAGAACAAAAATAGACATAAGTCCCTGTCATCCAGAACAGGGAGAGATAGCCCAGGGGCAAGATGGTAGATCAGTACCCTGCATATGGTATTTGACAGTATAAATGCTGTGTTGAAAAAAAAAAGAACAACAAAACAAAGCAGGGACCAGAAAGGGGTGGTGGTGGTACAGTAACAGATGGGTGTCCAGGAATGGCCACCTGAGAGGGTGGCATTTGAGCCAAGACCTGATGGAAGTGGGGGGAGGAGCCATGTGGATGTTGGCAGAAGAGTGGTCCAGGCAGAGGGCATGGCCTGTGCAAAGGCCCTGAGGTAGGAGCGTGCCAGGTGTGCTCAAGGAACAGCAAGGAAGCCCTGTGGCTGGAGTGAGTGAGCAAGGGGGAGGTGGCAGGGGGAGCAGGATGGAAAGGGAGGTGGAGTGGGAGAAAGTTGGAGGGGGAGAAGGGTTATGTCTGGGTCACCACTGGGTCTTGCCCATCATGGGCCTGGCATATGGTAGGTGCTCATTATTTGGGAGAGGAGTGGGAGAGTCTGTCTCTGTGCTGGCTGCTACCTCTAGGGATGGAGGGCACACTGAGGTCCAGGTTCGGGGACACGAGCACAGTCCGGCCTGTTTACGGGGCACCTGGTACGTGCCAGGCTCCTTGGCCAATGCAGATGTGACTCCCCCTGGGTGCTCACAATCTGGGGGTGGGGGGAATACACTCATTACCGAGTGGCTTTGCACAGGGGCTTTGATGGAGTATAGGGGGTAGGGAGAGCTCCCAAGGTGGTCAAGAGAGCATTTTCTGAGCACAGCCAGTGCCTGCCCCAGTCTGGCCCCATTTGGGGGACTCCATGCCTTGATGGAGGAGCAGTGGGCACGTGCAGGGGCTGAGCCCTGGAAGTCTTCCTGGAGGAGATGATGAGGACGCCAGTTTGGGGTGGGTGGAGCATGAGGGATCCAGGCTGAAGGTGGTGGTGGGGTCCATGGGAGGCTCTCGATGTCCCAGGGGAGAGAAAGAAGGATAGGACTGGGGCCCCGGCTCCCTCAGGGTCACTGAGCTAGCTGGGGTGGAGAAGGACAGAGTAACTCTGATTTTCATGGCATGGCATGGCCAGCTTTGACAATCTGCGTACTTCTGGGTTGGCTGGTAAATAGCCCTTTCTATGCTCTTAGTGCCCCAAGAGACCCGGCAACCAAAAGGTCCTTATTGAACCTTTGCCATCCTTGGGGGCGCAGGGACCTTTCCCTCTGCTTTCTCCAGTCGGAGATGCTGAGGCTTGGAGAGGTCTCCTGGAGGCCAGGCAGGGCACCTAGTGATGCCATCCCCTCCACCCCCCCTCCCAGCGGCCTCTTCGTGCTGATCCGTGTGCGTCTGGAGCTGCGGCGGCACCAGCGTGCTGGCCACACCATCCCGCAGATCTTCCAGGTGGTGGCGCAGCGGCAGCCGGATCGCCTGGCGCTGGTGGATGCGGGCAGTGATGTGTGCTGGACCTTCGCGCAGCTGGACGCCTACTCCAATGCTGTGGCCAACCTCTTCTGCCAGCTGGGCTTCACACCAGGTGACGTGGTGGCCATCTTCCTGGAGGGCCGGCCGGAGTTCGTGGGGCTCTGGCTGGGCCTGGCCAAAGTGGGCGTGGAAGCCGCTCTGCTCAACGTTAACCTACGGCGCGAGCCCCTGGCCTTCTGCCTGGGCACCTCGGGTGCCAAGGCCCTCATCTTTGGAGGGGAGCTGGCAGCAGGTGAGGCTGGGGCAGGTATCATCTTGAGTGGAGACCCTGGGGTTTCCAGGGCCGGGAGATGGTGTGGTGCCTCCCAGGCCTTGGGAGGGGCCCCGGCTGTCCTTGGCCGTGACGTATGTTTTGGGCTGCAGTGGTGGCCGAGGTGAGCGGACAGCTGGGGAAGAGCCTGCTCAAGTTCTGCTCTGGAGAATTGGGGCCCGAGGGCATCTTGCCGGACACCCAGCTCCTGGACCCGTTGCTGAGGGACGCCTCCACAGCCCCCCTGGCACAGCCCCCTGACAAGGGCATGGATGGTGAGGCCAGGGTGGGATGCCCTTCTTCTTTCAATGCCCACCCTGTCCCCTCATCCCACCCACCCAGTCCTCAGTCCCCAACACGCGCATCTCCTGCAGATCGACTCTTCTATATCTACACTTCGGGGACCACAGGGCTGCCCAAGGCTGCCATTGTAGTGCACAGCAGGTAAGGGGCCCATGGGCCTCACCCCAGCTTTGGGGAGTGACTCCAGGTCGCCTCTACGGCTGACCCCTTCCCTCAGATCTTGTTGGGATCTTGGGGACATTTCTTTCTCAACCCAGTAAAACCCACGGCCCATCTCAGGACAGTGCTGCTCTGTGTCCCTCCTTGGTCTCTTGCTGCTCTTGCTCCTACCCCTAATGGCCCTGTTCCCCTCAGTGGACACAGGAGGATTTAAAAAATCCTAAACCAGACCTCCCCTTGCCAGACTTCCCTGTATCTGCCTTGGCCCTCGGAGTAAAATCCATGCTCGTGTTGTGCAATGCCTGCCAGTTCTCTGCTGTCCTCTTCCTCCTCTCCACCCCTTGCTCGTGCCCTTTCAGCTCCTTACACGTCCTCAGATCTGCCACGGTCCTTCTAGCCTCAGGGCCTTTGCACATGCTGTGCCCACCACCTGGACGCCCTTCCCCAGCTTCCCTCCCCCCCCCATGGCTCCTTCTCACCAGGTCTCAGCTCATGTGTCACTTCTCCACACAGGATCCCCCAACCTCTCTGGCTGTGTCACCTTCAGCCCCTCTCCGTTTCTCAGCTCTCTGGTATTCCTCATGGCCCCTAGCACCATGGACAATTATTGGCAGCATGTTCTTCTCCCTAACCCCTGTGAGCTGGGCTGGCTCTGCCTGGGTCCCTGCTGTGTCCCTCTCCCCTCCCCCATGCTCCCCCCAGTCCCATCCCCAGAGGATGTAAGTCCCAGCCCCTGCACTCCCCGCCCCTGCAGGTACTACCGCATTGCAGCCTTCGGCCACCACGCCTACAGCATGCAGGTGGCAGACGTGCTCTATGACTGCCTGCCCCTGTATCACTCGGCAGGTACTTCGGGCAGGTGGGGGCGGGGTGGGGGGCAGGGACTGGGGACTCCTCACCGAGCCCGCCCTCCGCAGGGAACATCATGGGCGTGGGGCAGTGTCTCATCTACGGGCTGACGGTGGTCCTCCGCAAGAAGTTCTCAGCCAGCCGCTTCTGGGATGACTGCGTCAAGTACAACTGCACGGTCAGGCCCCGCCCCTCCCGCGCCGCCCCACCGCCTTCCACCTGCTGGGCCACCCTTGTGGTGCAACCACTCTCCCGCCCGGCCTCCAGCCTTCCCCGCCCCCCCCCCCATGGCCGGAATGGCCACTCTGGAGGGGGACAGGAGGGTGGCCAGCCCCAGGCTAAACCTTCCCCCATGTAAACTCAGTGGATCCGCATGACTGCGTGAGAATGGGCAAAGGCATCACAAAGACCATTTTGCAGGTGGGGAAACTGAGGCCTATACTGCAGCTGGGATTGGGCCCAGGCTGCTTGAGTTCTCTAAAGAGTCCGCCCTGTGCCGCCGGCGTCTTCCCTGCTGGTGGCTGCTGGAAATCAGGAAATGAGACCAGTGTGTCCAGTCACCCCCCTGGGCTGGTTAGGTGTGGGGCTTCCAGATGGGGTAAGCATGAGGTAGAGGTGGACAACATCCACGGTCCTGGAGGGGGAGAGGAGGAGGGGGGTGCTGGCCCCCGTCCTCTCCTCTCGTCTCCCCTCCATGGTGAGAGGAAACCAGGCTGAGGATCTCAGTGCCCTGATGGCAGTAGATACACAGGTGCTAGCATGTTCCTCCAGGAAGAAGAGGTGAGGAGAGGAGAGGAGACAATGGGCTGTGGCCAAGGACTGACACATTGGTGGGTGCCCACCTCACCTTGGACAGGTGGGGCCCAGAGAGTTTAGGTTGACTGCCCAGGTCACACAGCTGGGCAGGGTGGGCTCTGGGCTGGCATCCTAGGGACCCCTGGGGGCAACGGCTGTGATCTGCTCCACTTTTGAGGATTTTCCGTTTTGCTTGTGGGGAACCCCGGAGGAATGTTGTTAAACCAAGTCTTGAAAGGCGAAACAGTCTGTTTTATAAACTTGATTATCGAGAGTTGTGAATACAGCTATCCCCCACTCTCTGAAAGTGCCAGTTTTTTGGCTTCGCTGTGGGGAAAGACCTACATCAATACCTGATTTCACTAACCAAAAGAAATCCGAAGAGGATTTTTTCTTTTACGGGAAAAAAAACTAAAAACACATTCTGGTACTAATGTAGGTCTTTCGTAAAAGTGAAGTGTAATTCGAACTTTTAGAAAGCAGGGGATATGCTTTGCTTGACGCTGTTTCAGCTTATGAAAGCTTTCCTAGGAACGCTCTGTTTTCGGGGAGCACGCAAAGTCTGTGTACATGAACGTGGACAGAAAGTATAGGCAATTCCCAAGCACTGTCACTGGCCCCAGGGGGCCTTCAGACCCCCCCATTGTGCCCCCTCTAGCCCCACCCACATCCCTCCTTCTTCATTGTGAAGCAGTCCCCAGAAAGCAGTGTGTGTCCTTCATAGAGATGCTTCTGGAAAACCTCTGAAAGATGAGAACCATTTTGTTTTGTTTTTGAGGCAAAAGTCGTATAAAAGAAACCATTTTTAAAGTGGACAGTTCAGTGGTGTTTCGGATATTCATAGTGTTGTGTAACCACCACCTCTGTCTAGTTCCAGAATGTTTCCATCACGCCAAACCGTCTGCATTAGCAGTCAGTCACTCCCCATCCCTGTCCCCTCACCCCCAGCCCCCAAGGCAACCCCTAACGTGCTTTCTATCTTTATGGATTGGCCTGTTCTGGACATGTCTTGTAAGTGGGACTCATACACTATGTGGCACTTTGTGTCTGGTAAGGGCTATTGTTAAAACAAAAGAATTGAAAGCAGGGTCTTGAAAGGATATTTGTACACCCCTGTTCGCAGCAGCATGATTTACAATAGCTAAAACACGGAAGCCACCCAGGGGCCACCAGCAGGTGAATGGATAAGCGCAGTGTGATGTATTCATATTATGGAATGTTATTCAGCCTTAAAGAGGAAGGAATTCTGGCACATTCCACAACATGGATAAACTTCGAGGACATTGTGCTGAGGGCAATAAGCCAGTCACCAAGAGACAAACGCTGTATGATTCCCCTTATATGAGGGACTGAGAGCAGTCACAGTCATAGAGACAAGTAGGATGGCGGGCACCTGGGGCTGAGGGAGGGGGTGGGGAGTCAGCGGTTAGTGGGGACAGAGTCTCAGTTCTACAAAATAAAAAGTCTCAGTTCTACAAAATAAAAGGATGGTGGTGGCTGCATAACAGTGTGAGTGTCCTTAATACTACCGAGCTGTACCCTTAAAAGTGCTTACGATGGTAGATTTTATATTATTATATGTGAACACAACAAAAAAAGGAAAAAAAAAAAAAACCACCCGTAAGCTCAGCACCATCATCACAGCCAAAAAGTAACAGTGAACTCTCAGTGTCATCGGGAATCTGGGCAGCAGTTCCATCCCCAGTGTCTCACTGGGTCAAAATGTGGTTTTCCCCTGTTTCTATAATTTGAAAAAAATCCGTTTTTAGAGGAGACCCACACATTTTGACCAGTCGATGTGTCTCATGAGAATCCCTTCATCTGTAGGAGCCCCTTCTCTCTCTTTTTTTCTGTCTTGTATTTACTGAAGGGTTGTGTGTCCTATAGTATTTTCTGGATATTGCCGGGGTGTCTCTTAACGTGTTCCTCTGTCCCCGGTATTTCCTGTCCGTTGGGTCCATCACAGTGTTTCTCAGCATGATGCTAAGGATATCCGGGGCTGGATCATTCTGGGGGCAGGGGTTGTCCCGTGCACTATAGGATATTCAGCAGCATTCCTGACCTGAAAACACTAGATACCAGGAGCACCCCCCGCCCCAGTTGTGAGCATTAAAAATGTATCCAGATGTTGCCAAGTGTTCTGTGAGGACAGAGTTGCTTGTGGTTGAGAACCCCTGGTCTAGATACTTGATCAGCTTCAAGTTCAACTTTTTTTCGTGGGAGGCCCGCAGTGTCTGGGGTCCCTCTCTGTCCTTGACATGCCACACTCCATCGGGCACTGCTCACTGTCTCTGGACCCTTGATAGTCTGTCCTGTTTCTAAGAAGGGAATTTCTGTGTCAAGAGAAGGTACCCATTAAACACTGAGGGGCCCTTTAAGGAATAGACAGAATCCTCGAAGGATCTGGTGTCTGCCTCTCTGAACTGACCTGAGCTGTCTTCCCTTCAGCCCAGGGTCTGTCCGAGGGTACAGGCCAGAGGTAGAGATCAAGTGTTTGCTCTCAGTGCAGGGACACAGCCTCAGGGCCATGAGGAGAAGTCATTGTCCCCTCAGCTGCCTCAATCATGGCTGACCTGCTTCTCCCCTGGCCTGAAGAGGACAGCTGAGAGCTGCTCAGGGCATGGCCGGGACTATCAGGTGATGGTTTGGAGGGCAGTACTTGGGCAGGACTTTGTGTCATTTGACAGGAGCCAAAAGCCTAACCTAAACCCTGGCTTCCTGAAGAAGGGGATTTATTACTCATGGACCTGAAGAGGCCACATGGGGACAGCTTCAGGCACAGCCTGATCCAAGAGTGCCTCTGTCTCTCTCTGTTTCTTGTCTTTCTCTTTCCTGAGTGTACAGCTTCCTTCCCAGCCCTGCTTCTCTGGGAAGGCTCCCAAGCAGCTCCAGGGGAGAAAGAGCCTCTCTCTTCCTCTCGGTTTATTAGACGTCCCAGGGCTGATTCTCACTGGTCTAATTCTGGTCAGGTGCTCATCCTTGAACCAATTAGTAGCTGGGGATGGACTGGGCTGATTGGCCAGACCGTGTCCTGTGTCCTGCCTAGAGATGAGATGGGCTGGGCCACGGACATGGCACGGACCTGAGCCTAGGGGCGAAGGGAGAGAACTCAGCACCATCACGTTCTGATCTTGCCCCACCCTGCTTGCCGCCTGGTCAGCAGCTGATGATCTTGGGCACGCTGTTTCCCTCTGTAGATCTCAGTGCCTTCATGTCCAACATGGGGGTGTTGGGAGAATTCAACAAATGAGCTCTGTGCTTGGTGGGTAGAGTATTTAGCACATTTGTTTATTCATCAGAGATTTAGCAAGTGCTGTTCAGGGAGTGTCTCTCCGTGGCAGTGATCTTTGACTCAAACCCCGAGGGCCCAGATGCATCCCGGGGAAGAATGCGCCAGGCAGAGGGCACAGCATGTGCAAAGGCCCTAAGGAGGAGCCCTGTGTGGCAGCAGCTGTTGGTGGCAAATGGAAGGAGAAGAGGCAGTGAGGACGGTGGGGCCAGAGGGAATTGGCCACTGGCAGAAATTTGGACTTCATCCTGTGTGTGAGGGGAAGCTGTGAGCGCTTTGGAGCTGTGATGATCAGCCTGGCGGTTAATCCCGAGCATGTAACTTCTTCATTCAGACTCTGGGGCCAGGCTGCCCAGATTCAAATCAGCTTCTACCACTTATCAGCTTTGGTCCAGTTATTTACTGTTGGTGGCCCTCAGTAAAATTGGGGGGGGCGTGGTGGTAATCATTTGGAAGTCAACCCAGAGATGAGGACTGGTAGGCCCCTGGGGTATTTGGGAAATGACCCTCCAGGAGTGGAGCCTTGAGACAGGGAGGGAAGGAGCCCTGCAGGGAGGCGCCAAGGAGCAAGGGACCCGGTGGGCAACTGGGGCTCCGAGAGGCAGCGCGGAGCATGCACCCCGAGCTAGGGGTCCTGGAAACAGCGTGGGGAATGGAAGGGCGGCGGAGGGGCATGGGGGACGCTGAATGCATCCTTCTGCCTCCACCCCCCAAAGTGAGGATTCAGCAAGGGGTACGCATAAACGGCCTTGGGGGGGCGGTTGTTGCATGGCCCTTAAGACCGATGTGTTCTAGCGCCCCGGTTGGAGGGAGGACTCCCCTCGGGCCCACCCCTCGCTCCCCCCCCTCCCCCCAGGTGGTCCAGTACATCGGGGAGATCTGCCGCTACCTGCTGAAGCAGCCGGTGCGCGAGGCCGAGGGGCGGCACCGCGTGCGCCTGGCCGTGGGCAACGGGCTGCGGCCGGCCATCTGGGAGGAGTTCACTGAGCGCTTCGGCGTGCGCCAGGTCGGCGAGTTCTACGGAGCCACCGAATGCAACTGCAGTATTGCCAACATGGACGGCAAGGTGGGCGGCCGAGGCGTGGCGCGGGCAGGTTGTAGGGTTTGGGGATCGCGGCCACCTCGGCCTCCCTGGCCCCCGCGTTCTCGTAGAACAGCCTGACCTGCTGGGAGGCGCCGGCCAGGCGCACAGGGCGGGGGAAGGGGGAGCTCCCAGGACTGCCAGGGCACACACAGTCCTGGGTCTGTACCTCCAGAGTTCAAGTCCTCGGCGAGGCGGTGTACCTTGGGCCAGGGCCTCAGCCTTTCTGAGCCTCAGGTCCCACCTGTGGGGGTGGCAGGGGAGAGCAGGGCTCTGGGGGATCCTGGGCGGGGGTTGGGGTGCCCATCCCCTACTACCGGGTAAGTCACTCAGACTCCTTGGGCTTTGGTTTCCTCATCCATAAATGGGGATGATAGCTCATTGGGACCATGAGCTCAGCACAACACCCCCAGGTAGCAGGCTCTCTGCAGATGCATTTATGATTAGCAATCACTGTCTCCATTCTGCCTGAGCAGAACCCTCTCTTATCAAGCCTTACCAAGCCAGGCATAGATCAGGAGCATGATTATAAAGCAAGCGCCTGGGGGCAGGGATTGCTTTGTGTCTGTCTCGGTGTTGGGGACCCAATACCTGAGAACCAGGCCCTGCCCACCCCCCCACCCCCCATGCATATCTGTTGAATAGACAGCCCCAGAAGATACCTGGCCATGCTAACAGAAATTGCTGTTCTGGGTGCCTGGGTGGCTCAGATGGTTGAGCATCTGCCTTCGGCTCAGGTCATGGTCCCGGAGTCCTGGGATCGAGTCCCGCATTGGGCTCCCCGCTCAACGGGGAGCCTGCATCTCCCTCTGCCTCTCTCTCTCTGTCTCTTACGAATAAATAAATAAAATCTTAAAAAGAAAGAAAGAAAGAAATTGCTGTTCTAACAAACATACCCAACAGCATAGAGACGGGCATTTCTACTCATCGGACTGAGCCAGGCAAGGTGACTTGCAGCGGGCAGCGGGCTCCAGGGTCATTCTAGGCATGTACTTCCTGCCAGTATAGAGGGTTTTATGGACCAGGAGGTGGTGACCAGTCAGTAGGTTTCCTCACATGATTGTGGAGGAGGCTGGGAAGGTGGGAGGAGGGGGCCTGAGTCCTGAGAAGGAGGCACTGCCCTTAAGACCCCCTTTTTCAGATCACCCAAGGTCACAGAGTTCAGGCAATGCAGGGGTTGCCTGAACTAATTCCAGGCCCTGGGGCAGGAGAGGCAAGGTGTCAGTTGGGAGGATGCCGTGCCCCCTGGGGCTCCTCACCAACTCACTCGCTCCATCCCAGGTCGGCTCCTGTGGCTTTAACAGCCGTATCTTACCCCATGTGTACCCCATCCGGCTGGTGAAGGTCAACGAGGACACCATGGAACTACTGCGGGATGCCCAGGGCCTCTGTATCCCATGTCAGGCCGGTGAGCCAGGCCCTGCCCAGTCCCCTGGGGAACTGGGGCCCTCACCCCCTGCCCACCCAGCGCAGCCTGAGGGTGGCCTCCTCCCCAGGGGAGCCCGGCCTCCTTGTGGGCCAGATCAACCAGCAGGACCCGCTGCGTCGCTTCGATGGCTACATCAGTGAGAGTGCCACCAGCAAGAAGATTGCCCACAGTGTCTTCCGCAAGGGCGACAGTGCCTACCTCTCAGGTGCGAAGACCCTGGGGGGCTGGCTGTGGGGATGGTGGGCCACCATCTCACCTCTCCTCCTCCTCCCCTCTGCCAGGTGATGTGCTGGTGATGGATGAGCTGGGCTACATGTACTTCCGGGACCGCAGCGGGGACACCTTCCGCTGGCGTGGGGAGAATGTCTCCACTACAGAGGTGGAGAGCGTGCTGAGCCGCCTGCTGGGCCAGACAGACGTGGCTGTGTACGGGGTGGCTGTGCCAGGCAAGCTGGGGTTGTGGGGCTGGTCCTAGGGTATGGCAGCCCCAGAGGAGCCAAACCTGCACAAGCTTGGAGGCCGGGGTGCCCTTGGGCAGTGCTCAACCTGGGTAACTGCACCCGGCAGCCTGGGTGGGAGCACTGGATCTGGAGTTACCCCTCATGAATGATAATCAACCTCGGTTTCCTTATCCAGAAAATGGGATCATGAAAGCAACTGTCTCAGGGTTGCAGGGAGTGCTGCAGGAGCTCAATAACATGGTGACTGCTTCAACAAATGTTATCTCAGATGGAGGGGACTGGAGATCAGAGGCCAGGGGCCTCTGTGTGAGGGTGTATCCAGCCCTGCAGTGGGACAAAAGGTGGGGTGTTCTCAGCAAAACCTCTGTCTTTAGGAGTGGAGGGCAAAGCAGGCATGGCGGCCATCGCAGACCCCCACGGCCAGCTGAGCCCCAATGCGCTGTACCAGGAGCTGCAGAAGGTCCTGGCGCCCTATGCCCGGCCCATCTTCCTACGCCTCCTGCCCCAGGTGGACACCACAGGTGCAGCCTCCCGCCTGTCTGTCTGTCTGTCTATCTGTCTGTTGGTTCAGCAACCATTTGCTTATTTGTCCCAGTTTAGGCCCCCCTGCCAAGTCTGATTGCAATGGTTCATGGTCAGTGGGCACTGTGGGTGCCCGTAGGGCCCTTCTCTTATTTTATTTGCACTATTATTTATTCCCATTTGTCGATCCCAGCCCCACTAGGCATTCTGCGGTGTCTGGTGCCTTTCTTCCATTGCCCGCATTTTTCTGATGACTAGGAAATTTGAGCAACTCATCTCATACCTGTGAGGTTTCCACTCCTGTAAATCACCTGTTTGTATTTTTTGCCCATCTTTGTATAGCCTTGCTCTCTTTTTCTTTTCAATTGACGAGAGTTTCTCCTAATATTCCAGATGTTAATTCCTTAGCACTTTCGGACATCAGGAGTCTTCTCTTTGGGAGTCTGTTAACCTTGTTAATGGGGCCTTTGTTGAAAAGAAGCCCTTCATTTTGATACAAACTTACCTTTTTTTTTTTTTTAATCTTATAGTTTGTGCTTCTGAAGTTTTATTTAAAACGAGAAACCTTCCCAACTCTAACGCACACAGGTCTCCTGCCTCGGTTTTTTCCTACTCACCCTGCCCCTTAGCCTTATCTTTCACGGAGCATTTCTTTAATTGTCCACTGCAGGGAGTGCAAACTGTTTCTTAAAGGACCAGTTAGTAAATATTCTGTTTTTCGGGCCATGTAGTCTCTGTCCCAACAACTTACCTCTGCCTCTGTTGTGCAAAAGCTGCCCTAGAGGGTGTGTAAATGAGTGGGTGTTGCTTTGTGCCAATAAAAACTATTTACAAAACAGATGATGGGCTGAGTTTGGCTTTCAGCTACAGGTTGCTGACCCCTGACCTACTGTGTGGCAGACTCAGCCCTGCCTTGGTCTTGTGGGGAGTAGACACGTGCCCAGGCAGGGAATACACAGTGTATGGGGCTATGATGGGGTAGTGGTCAGGGAGGCCGCTCTGGAGGAGGGGGCATGAAGTCAGGATCTGAAGGACAAGGGAGAATCAGGCAGCAAAATGGGGAAGAATGTTTCCAGCTGAGGGGACGGCCTATGCAGAAGCCTGGAGGTGTAGGACAGGATGTGAGTTTGGGGTTCCCAGAACGCTCTCTGCTGAGTACCCCCATCCCCACCCCCACAGGCACTTTCAAGATCCAGAAGACTCGACTGCAGCACGAGGGCTTCGACCCACGCCAGACCTCAGACCGGCTCTTCTTCCTGGACCTGAAGCAGGGCCACTACCTGCCCCTGGACCAGGGTGTCTACACCCGCATCTGCTCGGGTGTCTTTGCCCTCTGACACTCCTCCTCCGCCCACTAGAGACTTCTAGGCAGGCCCTGCTGGTGAGGCAGGCCCTGCCGGTGAGGGAGGTTTGAGCCAGACAACCCTGCCTGGGGAGGAGCTGGCCCAGATGCACCAGGTGGGACCATCCTGGTGCTAAGCAACTGGACCCCAGCAGGAGCCCATGGCTCTGCTACCTTCACTCTCCTCTTTCCGCCTCTGGGCTCTCTTCTGCCTGAATTCCTGCTCCTGTGTTTGTGTGTGTGTGTGTGTGTGTGTGTGTGTGTGTTTTCTCCCTGCTTCTCCTCCTCGCCCCTGTTCCATCTGCTGTCGCCTCTTCCCTCTTTCTCCTCCTCTGCTCTCTCCTGGGATCTGTAGGCGCGGAGGGCCCAGTTGCCCTCGGGGCCTCTGTGGGTCGTCCCTGCTGGGTCATGGACCCAGAGTGGAGCCTCCTGGCCTCCCTCTCAGCTGTGCCTTAAGGAGCCTCAGTCCGGGCCTCCCTAGGCTGCCAGGCTCCAGCACATCCTCGCCCTGTATGAGCTCCAGGCAGAGCCTCCATCCTCCCTCCTGAGGGGAGGAACCACGGGTGGTCTGCCCTGCCCACCGGGATGTAGGGGGGCATTGTCAAGGGACCTCCAGGCCAGCCAGAGATCTCCCAGGCTGGGCCAGTTGCCATTTGCACTCAACCATCTTTGGTGGGTCTCCCACACCCTGTCTGCACTTCCTGATGCCCAGAAGCTTCCAGAATTGACTGTTACCACTTGACATTGCCCCTGCCCAGATGTCTCCTTTTAGGCGCCTCCATGGAGCTCCTGCTAGAGGGGCCTTGAAGACTGCATTGGGTGGCTGTTCGGCTCACCATTCAGACGCTCACCCTGGCAGAGACCTCCCGGGTGTCCCCATGTGGCATGGCTGCTGGTGGGACCCATAGGAGTGGCAGCCGTGGTGTCGGGAGAAGTATCCTGCCTGGGGGTGGTGTCAGAGATGGACTTTTGGGCCTTGGGGGTTCCAGCCCATTGAATAACCCTGCTGGCCTTGTTGGTGACAGTTCAGACCCAGCGTTGGTGGTGACATCCTGGACGACACAGCCGGGATGGCTCGGACATCCCCATCAGCCTCGTTGGTGGTTCATCCTAGACTCCTGTGGTTGGGACTATCCACCCAGACCATCCGTCCTACCCTCCTGCTGCAGCGGCATCCAGCGCCATGAACGCTGGGGCCAGCGCTGTTGCTCATGGGCCTTTCCAAGCACAAAGGTTTTGTTTCCTAGTTGAATTTAAGAAATAAACCTGCAGAGTGTCCAGGGCCTGAATCCCGGTTATTTACTGCCTGTCCCCATGTGGCGCAGAACCCTGTCTGAGTTTCAGACGGCAGGACGTTTTGCTGGGGAACTCATGTTCCCCAGACACCAGCAAGACACACGGCCTTTTCTTGCTGCCCCCCCAGGTGGCCTTAAGCCCAGCTGCAAGGCCTCTGGGGTCTGGGGACAGGCTGCATGCGGGTTAGTGGGTTAGCATCCTCGCTGCCTCCCGGCAGCCTCTGGGGCCTCACAAAGTCCTGCCCCAGCTTCAGTTCCAATCTGCCTGTGGGCTCTGGCAGGTGCCCCAGTGTGGCCATAGCTCTGGGTGAGAGCTGCAAACGTGGCTATTGGAGCTGGCATTCTAATCCAGGACCCCCAGCTCCGGAGTCTAGACACTTAATCGCAACTTCCGCTGTTCCACCTGCAGTATTATAATGTCTGTCTTCTCTCCAGGGGACAGAGGAGGAAAAATTTGTGATGACTGAGCATTTGCTGGGAGGGGGCAGCCCTGGGGATGGATGGGGGGTGGGGGATGGATGAGGCCCTGGTTGGCTCAAGGATGGATGAACCATTGATGGCTGGGGCTGGTCCTTGGATGCCCAGTTCACAAGGAGAGGGAGGCAGGAGAAGGGTCCGCTGCCGTTGGGGATGGAGTGTCCCACTGTGCTGATAAAGCAAGTGTATTCTGTATCACATCCCATCAGACCTCACAACCACCATGGTCCCCACTGTACAGATAAGAAAACTGAGGCATGAGGAGGGGAATGAAGTCAATGCCAGCAGCTCCTGGTGAGAAAGCGGGCCAGCAGGACCTTTCTTGTTCCAAAGCCTGTGACTCTCAGCAGGGTAAGAAGCTCCCTCTGAGCTAGCAGGAAAATAATACTGGTGACTCTCAGCAGCAGGCTCTGTGTTTGTCTTTTTAATTAATGACAGACTTTATGTATTAGAGCAATTTCAGGTTTATAAAAAAACAAGTGTAAAGTACAGACTTCCCATATACTCTCTACCCCGCACGGCCGCTTCCCTTACTATTTACGTCTTGTGTTACACTGCATTTATAATGACTGATGAGTCTATGCCCGTGCGCTATTATTACCTGCAGTCTACAGTTGCCATTAGCATTCACTCTGTGTTGTACATTCCGTGGGTTTTGACCTGCATCCACTGTGATGGTATCATAGTTTCTCCGCCCTAAGAATCCCCTGTGCTCCATCTCTTCATCCCTCCTATCCCAACCCCTGGCAACCATGGATCTTTTATGGTCTCCACAGTTTTGCATTTTCCAGGTCATGCATTTGGAATCCTATGACATACAGCCTTTCAAACCAGCTTCTTTCACTTAGCAAGATGCCTTTAGGATCCATCCCTTTGGCTGGCTTGAGAGCTTTGTATTTTTTTTTTAAGATTTTATTTATTTATTTAAAGATTTTAT